CTTTCGTCTGCGAACACGATGATACCGTCCAATTGCTTCTCCCTAATGACTCTGCTTCCATATTACATAGGTCAGGATCAGAAAGACGTGAGCCTTGATGGGGGGAAGGGGAATAGCGGCACGCAGAGGCCGGACCTGAGGGCGTGGAGGCGCATCCGAGCCTCGAGGCGGTGTCGGTCGTGCCAGCGGACGGGCATCTGCTCGTGGAAGGGGAGGTGGACGACGGGGAGGCGGGAGCGGGCTAGGAGCGCGGCGGTCTCGTTGGAGACGCCGCCGGCCTCGACGACGAGCCAGGTGAGTGGGTGCGGGACGAGCATGAGCGAGTGCAGGAGGCCGGTGAGGTGGAGGGCCTGGAAGGTGCGGGCGTAGGTCGGGGTGACGACGAGGACGGGGCGGGGGTCCTTGACGCCGTAGCGGCGGCGCTGCTCCTGCTGCACGCGGGCGAGGATCTCGTGGGCCCGTGCAACGTCAGCGGCGTTCGGGTGGGGCCAGGGCCGCACCCGGATGCCGTGGCGGCCGACCACGACGCGGTTCGAGGCGGCGGCGGGAGGAGGAGGAGGGAGATGGATGTGGGGCGGCGGCGGGGACGGAAGGACGGCGGGCGGGGGTTGGCGGAGGAGGTGACGATGGTGGAGGGACGAGGAGGAGGGAGGGGAAGGGGAGAAGAGGAGGAGGAAGAGGAGGCGAGAGAAGCGGAACCCAGCGGCGGCGGAGAGGAGGCAACAGAGGACATGGACGGCGGACCAGAAGAGAACGCCGGGGGAGGAGCGGAAGGCGGTGTATGCCTGGCGGTTCGGCTGCTGCGGCGCCGTTTGCTTCATTGCCCGACCTCCACGCTCTGCCTCCCTCCGATCTACTCCGCCGTCAGATCGCCAATCATGAATCGCGATCAAAGGGATAGGGTTTTGTCGGAGAGCAAGGCGGAGAGGGACAGGAGGGGCGGAAGGAAAGAAGGAAGAAAGGAAAGCGGTGGTGGCTCGGGCAAGGAATTGGAAGCTACTACTTTTGTGGGTGGTGAGCATGATTAATGAATGGGCTCGATATTACACATTTGCCCTCTTCTCCGGCCCATGTGTGCTTTGTTTGTCTCCGGCGGTGGTTAGTTCATAGTTGTCTTAATAAATTTTGCTGTTTGCTTTCAACAGTTAATGATCAACAAATATGGTCGGCAGAAATCTACAACAAGAAAACAAAAGTACTTTTGTTTTGGGGGGTAAAATCATATTAGTTCCGTTAGAAGAACAACAAAAACATGCAACTTATCAAGCAAAATAATAAATATCAAGATAAGTAAATTAAAAAAAAATCTGAAAATTCAATTTTTACCTAAAATTCAAAGAGACTTTCATAGTTCTTTTTCACCAAATCAAATAACATAATAAAATTAATTGCGATAATTTAAAAATAAAAGCTTGTTTTTAGTAATTGGGATGATTTTAGACTTTGTTATAGACGTGTGTATATGTTTCATATGCGGTATCCGATTGAATTTGACATGTAAAAAGAATATTAGCATGTGTCATTAAAACGAAAGTGAGAAATACAATATAATATTATGATGGATTAGAAAAAAAAAACATAAAATGGTGGGAAAATTGGGTATAAAATAAGTTTCTCATGGTCATCATCAAAATATCTTCCAACTTGACTTCTCTCTTGGATCTTCAACTTGGCGTTGTTGGTCTTTGGGGGTTGTTGATATGCTTTTTGTCCAACCAATCAAAGAATGACACTGTAAAAGTTTCTAACCAAGACAGTTTTGATGCGTGTGCCATTTAGCATTGTCAAGAACACTCCTTCTCTCTCTTTCTATCTCTGCCAATCTTGTTTATTCCGGAAATTCAACAAGCAAAATTATATATATATATTCCAAATTAGGATTTTTTATTTAAATCTCTATAATTAAGTTCAGAAAACAAGAATTCAAATTATCAATATAAGGATATTTTTATATTTAAAATTTTTTGAACTCATTGGTAATTTTAATTAGCAGTAATTAACCTTAGTATATTTGAATGAGTGTTAGTGACAGTAGCATATTCCTTTTTTTTTTGAAAAAAAGAAAAACTATCATTCAATAACTGTCAAGAAATTGCATCCCAAAAACTGGGGATTGAAGATTGGCCAAATCTCCACACACACACACAAAAAAAAAAACATATAATATGTAGATATTTGTATCGAGTTATAAGGTAGATATAGACTTTATCAGATCATTACAAAATCCTGAATAATACAATAAAAAATATTTCTCACAATGAATGTTTGATGCTTTTACAAGAAGACATGCAAGAGCTGGCATAATGAAAAATAAACCAAAACAGATGACCAGTGTTGTCATTTCAATGGTTTATATGTGAACTTTACAGGTGGGTTAGATTGTTGTGACGCAGCACCCAATCTCACATCCCGTCTTTCATCAAGTAGGACACACACATCACATCAACCAATTGGTCCTTTTATCAAGGACATGAAGCAATGCACCTGGAACATGAAAGAAACCTGAATCAGGAGGCATTAGCTAGCTTTGACAAGATCATGAAGTGGAGATGTTTCCAACTTTACACCGCATCGACATCTCCTCTCTCTGATCCCCATCTTCTCGCTAGGATTGACCTCCGAGTGGCATCAAGCAACTGTTGCTTAGACTTAGCAACAGCTTGGAGAGGAAGTACATGAGCTGCCATTCAACGTGCCTGCTTGATGAAATGTTACTGGTATCAGGAAAACTAGTTACCTGATTGTGTGGTGTGTCTTCTCAGAGGCATTTTGTCATGCAATATGTTGGCAAATGGGCATGCCATTGATGAGGGTTTTCGTATGAGCAGATATTAGTTGGTGAGCGAGGAAATCCCATTGTTAAGAGTAGGGTTTATTATCGAAGTGTATACTCCCAATGACTCGCTAAAGTTATACTCGTTAAAAAGTTTAATAGAAATTAAAGGATATATATTGACTATACCGATCTTAACAAGACATGTCCAAATGATAACTATCCTTTCCTCTTCAATCCCTCCATCTCTTCGTGGAGATTGTCGATGATGAGAAACTGCTAATGAATGATGCAATCGATGTCTCAATCAAAAAGAGTTGTGACATAATAGAGATGTTATAAGTTAAAGATAAAAAGGACACATCGAAAAAAATAAAAGTGACTAATGTACAAATATAACATTGAAAAACATGAAAAAGATCTATCAAGATGAGAGGCACAAGATAAAATGTGTCAAAATACACAAGTCGAGAAAATTCGACTCACGTAATAAGAAACCGGATAAGACAAAATGTACTTGAGATGCATCGGTCGAAAAAAAAATAACTCGATAATAAGAAACTCATCACGACGGGAGACACAAAACAAAATATATTTGATGCACTTGAGTCAAAAAAAATCTAACTCGTATAAGAAGAAACTTGTCTTGCAAGAGACATATGACAAAATATACCGAAGACATGTGAGTCGGAAAAATCCGACTTACATAATAAGAAACTCGTCATAGTAGAAGACATAAGACAAAATATACTTACGTATGAGTCGAAAAATCTCATCTCACATAATCGTTCCAAAATAGACTTTCTACTTCAGATGTGCAGCAATGTATGCATGTTAATATTTCTAATCCGCTTTGTTTATATGATTTTGAGATTGATTATATTCGGCACCTTCTCTTTGAGTGTCGCTTCACTCCGAGCATTTTTGTTATTTTAAATAGCAAACTAGGTGTGTAGTTTAATTTTAAGGAGCAAGATGGGGATTGACCGAGGCAAAGAAATAATAATTTGGTTACCTTAATTGTATACACTTTTTTTTTTTTGGTTAGTGTGGAAATCCCGTAATAAAAATTATTTTTTGATCTAATAAAAATTCCCCTAAAGGGATCTTTTTCAAAGCTATTGCGTTCTTTACTACACTTGCTACGATGTCTTAAGGGAATAAGGACCCCATTAACCTGATAATGGCTACCACAAGCCAAACTCGGACAACTCTTTTACTCTGAGCAACCGAGGAAGGAGGCGATTGGATTTCTACTTAGAACTAATAATGGTCAATGTTATATTACAGGTGGAAAGCTACGTAATGGGAGGGACGATTTTTAGACAGAATTATATGTGTGGTTTTGCAAGACATATTTTACCATATAAAATCCTTTACTTATGTTATGGCCTCTCATGCGTACATATAAACGAATCAACGTGTTAATTGGCTTGTAAAAATCATGCAAAAGCAAACAAATATATTTTTGTTTGGACTAAAGATTGACTTTCGACCTTTTCTAATTTATTATTGTGCTGCTGATCTCCGAGGCACATGATGTAGTTGTCGTTTCATAACTCAGTATAAATTTTTTTTTCTTTTTAATACAAAATAAAAAAATAAAGCAATGTGATCAATTTCATTATTTGAAGGTCAACCACTTAGCTTCGGTTGTACGTCTCTCTCTCTCTCTCTCTCGTTGACTTTGTTATCTTAGTCCAATCAATTCAATTCCATCATTCCCGAGAAAGAGTTAGGCTCGCTTAATATTCAACTATAATTGAATCTATTATTTATATATTATTATTTTTACACAAATAAAAAAAATAATGTATATGAAATCTCAATCATCTCAACCTCTTAGAAACCGATCCCCAAATATATGTCAGAAAATATTAAATTCGAAACTTTTCATTTGTAATCGATAGAATAGTTTTTGGTACATAGTAATCGCTTTTATAGGTAATAGTAGCATTTTTCCCGTGATTCATCGACTTAACATTTTTCATTTCATCCAAATCCTTATCGAAGATATCAAGATTGATCCTCACAAGAAGATGCATGCAAGCGGAAGACCTCACAAACTATTCAATCCAACGGTCTATAAAATCCCAACAAAAACACCCCTTAAAATTCTTCTTAGAAAAATTGGGGGGGTATTTTAGTCAATTCACGGTCACTAACGGACGTGATCGCATGTGACTCCCACTCAAATCCCATTCTGCCTCTACTGCTTTAACCCCGTCTCCAATTCCAACATCCCCAACCCGTCACGCCTCCGTTCCCCTATAAAGGTTCCACCTTTCGGCCCTCTGCCCCCTCGACATCCCACCTTTCCATCCCCTTCCTCTTGGATTCGCTATGGCTTCGACGCCTTTCCTCTCCGCCGCCCTCCTCCTCCTCTTCTTCTTCGCCGCCTCCGCCGCGCCGGACATGTCCATCGTTGCCTACAACAAGGAGCACGGCGTCAGGGGCCTGGAGAGGAGCGAGGAGGAGATGCGGCGGATGTACGAGGGGTGGCTGGCCAAGCACGGCAGAGCGAACAACGCGCTGGGCCAGAACGAGATGCGGTTCGATATCTTCAAGGACAACCTTCGCTTCGTCGATGCCCACAATGCCGCTGCCGACGCCGGACGGCACCGGTTCCGCCTCGGCCTCAACCGCTTCGCCGACCTCACCAACGAGGAGTACCGGGCGGCGTACCTGGGCACCAGGGCCCGTGGCGTCGCCCGTCGCAGCCGGGTTCCGGGCGACCGGTACCGGTACGAGGACGGCGAGGAGTTGCCGGAGTCCGTCGACTGGAGGGCGAAGGGCGCTGTCGCTGCCGTCAAGGACCAGGGCAGCTGCGGTGAGTCTCCGCTTCATTCTTTGTCGTCGTCTCCTTTTCCCGTGTCGCCGTCGCTTGCGGCGGAAAGAAGGGATTCAAATTACGATCGAACCCTTGACGAATTCGAATTTTGATTGTGGATGTTCTCGTCCTTCTATTTGGTATCGGTTTCGGGCTGCGTTATATCCGTCCTCCTTCGGCGTTTCACTAATCTTTTCGGATTCATCGCCCTATTTCTTTGCACGTTTTCATCCGAGGCCGATTCCGTCGGAATTCTTTCGTTTTATCCAATATAACAGGTTGTTTGTTCATGTCAACAGCAAAGATAGAATTTTGCGTATGGTATTAATGTCTTTAATTTTGATGCAATGATGTAATCTGTTTCTGAAGGTCAGCAAAATCTTGTTTGTTGATTGGTTTTAATGACCTTTTATATGCTTAAAGGAGATGTTTGGATTAATCAGGATTGATGTGACGAGATGCTTCTTTCGGAAACAATAATGCTCATGATTCAACTAAGGATATTGCTCCATAAACGTCTTAATTATGGGAAAATATCTGTATAGTTGCTCATAAATAGTTGGGATATTATGACTTATTTGTTGTGTTTTACATGACATTTGATTTCACTAAGGTTATTGTTTCATAAGTAGCATAACAATGGAAAAATATTCATACAGTCGATCACAAATAGTTGGGATATTAATAGGTTTTCTTCATCGATGTGAGCAAAAGTGTCTTTGAGTTGTAGAGGCAACTCTTGGCTTCATGAGATCTTGATTTTTCTACTCTTCAACTGATTGAGGCTAATCTTAGACTAAATATGCTTATTAGATATTATGACTCGTTGTATTTTAATTTTTCAAAATTTTACTCTTGTTATTCAAGTATTACATAAGATGTGTACCATATTCTCGGAGTCGGATTTGAAGGTGCAGTGTGTGCGTTTAACCATTAGAATGTCTTCTCTGGGACCTATTTGAGTGACCCTATACTAGATGCTGCTATGTTTAATTTGCTGTCTCATAGACCCTATGGTTCACGGTTATATGATTAATCTTGATGGCTGTGAAGGGAGCTGCTGGGCATTCTCAACTGTTGGTGCTGTGGAAGGGATAAATCAGATTGTGACCGGGGAGCTTATAACACTGTCTGAGCAGGAGTTGGTGGATTGTGACAATGCCTATAACCAGGGCTGCAATGGTGGCCTCATGGACTACGCCTTTGAGTTCATCATTAACAATAAAGGCATTGACACTGAGGATGATTATCCCTATAGAGCTCGGGACGGCACATGCGACCAGGACAGGGTACATTTTTTGGTTTCATTTTTGTGATATCTTCTGTGATGTTCTTGATGGAACAATATTCCTATATTTTTATGATTGCAGAAGAATGCTAAGGTTGTCTCTATTGATGGCTATGAAGGTGTTCCGCAGAATGATGAGAAGGCCCTGCAAAAGGCTGTTGCAAACCAGCCCGTCAGTGTTGCTATTGAAGCAGGTGGCAGGGAGTTCCAACTCTACCGATCGGTATGAATTCACTTGTTCAGACAATCATTTCTGTGAAATTCGATGGAACTGAATGACACAGCCTAAACCATTCTGTCTAAGGAGTAAGATGAAGTTCCACTCTTGCACTGGAATCGACTAGGACTGCTATTTCTCTTTTATCAAATCAATTGAACTGGGCATGTTTACTCAGATAAGCATGAATTTAGATGCGAACTACAGTTAAAATTCTTAGATTCTGTTGCAGTTTTAGCTTAGGTCACCATATATACTAGCAGCCAAGATGAAATATGTTGGATGTTACTCTGATGCTAAATAAACTTGGGTACAACCCATATGCGCCTTTTACGAGTTCAAACCTGTGTAGAAGCTAGATAGCATGTTTGCTACCTATGGCAGTCTCTGTTATATGATATTTGATGATATATTTCTTTGTCAAAAGAACATTTGCTTTGGTTTCTTTCAAAAATTTTCTTGTTGTAGAATGACTGCTAAGGTATTAATTTTTGAGTCATTTATTGCTTCCAGCCTTCTTGTAATCAACACTCAGAGGTATGATTGGCTGATTTGGATTTGACTTGTATGGTGGTTTACAATATTATTGTGATACAATCACAGTGGAATTTAGATTTATCAATCATTTTTGCACATGCATGGTTTTATAAACATCAGTATTTATCCCTTTTTAGGATACCTTGAGCCCATGTATTGTTGACTTATGCTCTTGAAAGACATTCTTTTCTTCATAGTGCTTTTTTAGTTGTCGTTTGGTATTAGTATTGCAATAGTTATATTTATTCCACATCTTTTTCCCTGACATAATAAGCAAATCTGGCTTGGAGACTTAATTTATCAGGTGATCACTTTTTTATTGACATTCTTTTGTTCACATATTCTAGGGTATATTCACTGGCAGATGTGGGACTAAGCTGGACCATGGTGTTGTAGCTGTAGGCTATGGCACTCAAAATGGTGAGGACTATTGGATTGTCAGGAACTCATGGGGGGGAGACTGGGGAGAGGCTGGTTACATCAGGATGGAGCGAAACTTGAACACTTCCACCGGTAAGTGCGGTATTGCCATGGAAGCATCTTACCCCATAAAGAATGGTGAGAACCCACCCAACCCTGGTCCAACCCCTCCCTCTCCCGTGAGTCCACCAACCGTTTGTGACAACTACTACACTTGCCCATCGCACACCACCTGCTGTTGTGTCTATGAGTATGGTGGCACTTGCTTTGCCTGGGGATGCTGCCCCCTGGAGGCCGCCACCTGCTGCGAAGACCACTACAGCTGCTGCCCCCATGACTACCCTGTTTGCAATGTCGAGGCTGGAACCTGTCAAATGGTAAATCTATACTCAAATCCTCTTGGTTAACTGCAGATTATCTGATACATAATGAACTGTTTATGATAATAACCGTATCTTAGCTTTCTTTTCAAGTCTCTTCTTAGCAATTTTTGTTTTCACTAGTTTTATACTTGCGGAGAGCAACTTCATAAATTTTTGATTGGTTTGGTTCTCATCTTGAAAACCTGAAAGAAAGAGAGCTTTTGGGTGGTGTTGGTGAACTGATGTGTCGTAGCCAAGGAGTCAGCACGGCTTGGTCCACGGGACGATGTCTAGAGTTCTCAATCGGTCGATAGGAGTGTCGGAACTGGCTGGATCAAGGGTTGAGCTGTCGACGTCGTCGTCTGGGAGGCATCTCTCGACTGGTTGGCTGAGGTGCTGAGGCCGACCGTATTGGGAGGTCGGGATGATGACGTCGTCTTCTGGCGAGGCGTCTCTCGGTCGAGACCGCCGTGCCTTCGGGGGTGGTCGAGCTTCTGCACAACGGCCCTCATCGGGGGATTCCCGACTTTGGCCCCTCGTAGATTAAGTTAGTGGTGGCATTTTTCTCTCTCTTCTCCGTCCCCTGGCCAGATGCCGGTCAGGGACTTTTATACTATTGTACGGGGATCGGTCGTACGCAGATTTGGCGTGGCGACCGATCCTCGCGCGGCGAGATGGTACCGTTCGGTCACCGCCCGGTATGCATTGAACGACGCCATACGACGTCGTCCCGAGTTATCCGGGACGGGACTTGCCGAGGGGGTGCCTCCCTGTATGGGTCTCGGATGCAATGCTGACTTGGCAAGGGCGTGATGCGCCTCGCTGCGAGCCGACATTCCAGAGCTGGCCGATATGAGCTTTGTTCATGGGAAGATGCGTCCTCTCATCCCCTATGATGGTTGGGGATCCTCCTTGTGGTGTGGAAGCCTCTAGAGCATGGGAGATGCGGGCTGACACTTGTCAGGTCCGACTCGTTGGGCCACCCTCCTTTGCGTACCGGGCGCCGTCCGTGTGAAGAAGACATTCGCGGCTCGGCGGCGACTGCCTCCTTGCAAAAAGGCCCTCGTCGGGTAATTTCCGACTTTGGCCCCTCCGACGAGCAAGTTAGACTCATTCTAAATCTCTCCCCCTTTTCTCTTTTTCTTTTTTCTCCCCATTTCCTGGATCAGGTCGGGGGTATTTATACCTGAGTGCGGGAATTGGTCGAGCCCTGGTCCGGTAGGGCCGTTGACTCTAGGGGCGAAACAACCCCTCTGATGAGATGGCGTCTTCGGGGGTGCTCGAGGGGCGCCAGACGGCACTGCCCTAGTAGCAGACGGCACCGCCCCCAGCTCTTAGGGTGGTCAGGTCGCACAGTCGCACCGTTGGGGCTTGACGTGGCGTGCACCCCGCGGTTCTGGAGGCACATGGTGTCGCGTCGGTTTGCAGCATCTGTTGTAGGTTTACATAGGGCCAAAATACTCCCTATCAGGGGTCGTTCGCAAACGCCCATAGAACGCTAGGGAGTTCAATTGATCACTCCACTGACTTGCTCGTCGGAGGGGCCTCGTCGGGTGATCCCGACGAGGGCTAGTTTTGCAGGAAAATGCAGCCACCTCGGGGTGAGCTCCTGCGACATCGGCCCTCCTTCTAGCGCCAAAAATGTTGGTGAATTGATGCGCCGTGGCTGAGGAGTCAGCACGGCTTGGTCCACGGGATGATGTCCAGAGTTCTCGGTCGGTTGGTAGGAGTGTCGGAGCTGGTTGGATCAAGGGTCGAGTTGTCGACGTCGTTGTCTGGGAGGCGTCTCTCAACTGGTTGGCTGAGGTGCTGAGGTCGACCATATCGGGAGGTCGGGATGATGACGTCGTCTTCTGGCGAGGCGTCTCTCGGTTGGGACGATCATGCCTCCGAGGGTGGTCGAGCTCCTGCACAAAGGCCCTCGTCGGGGGATTCCCGACTTTGGCCCCTTATAGATTAAGTTAGTGGTGGCTTTTTTTTCTCTCTTCTTCGTCCCCTGGCCAGATGTCGGTCAGGGGATTTTATACTGTTGTGTGGGGATCAGTCGTATGTGGATTTGGCATGGCGGCCGATCCTCGCACAACGAGTTGGTACCGTTGTTCGGTCGTCGCTTGGTATGCACGGAACGACGCCATACGGCGTCGTCCTGAGCTTTTCGGCACGGGACTTGCCGAGGGGTTGCCTCCCTGTACGAGTCTCGGATGCGATGCTGACTTGGCAAGGGCGTGATGCGACGTGGACCGTGACGTGGCTGAAATCCAAAATATGCCTTATCAGGTGGTTTTAAGACAACCAAATCGAGTGAAGCAAAACTTATTTCTATTTGTTAAGACGCAATAATTTGGTTCAGTTGATTTGATTTATTTGAATTTTTTAAACAAAATACGTAGAGATGATAGAGTGGTAGTCAGGAAGAAGAGACAACTGATGATGGATAGATAGCATGGGAAAGGGGAAGGACAGAGCCACCACGAGAGATGAGCTAGAGCTCCATCCTAGAAAGGAAGAGCAACATTGTTCCGTTAGCACAGGATGGTGAAGTTGGAAGAATTGAAGAGCAGGAAGAAAAAGTTAAAAGAGTGGCCATTGACAGTAGAATTGGACATGAGGAAAGGAAGAGGGAAAATGGGAGAGATGGTTTAAGAAAAATGGTGAGTTAGGATTTATAATCCGAGAGGAAGCAGTGGCGATAAAATGGGGTCACAGAACTTACCAAACCCAGTATTAAGGTAGGAATAATATTTTCAGTCTGATTTTTTCTTTTTTCTATTTGATAAACCACAACTAGAAAATAAAAACATTGGATTGAGCTAAAGCAGTAGTTTGTCTCTCTTTTTTGGGTCTTTTATTGTTTCCTTCCTAGTGCTTAGAATGACATGTCGATGCATGTGTGTATGTCTCTGTTTGTAGTTAGGTTTTTTATTGTCATGATTTCCACAGTTACAATTATGTCACTTTTTCATGCTGATATGCAGAGCAAGGACAATCCACTAGTAGTGAAGGCTTTCGCTCGAACTCCTGCGAAACCCTATTGGGCGTACTCAGGCCTCGCGGAGGAGAATCGCAATGCATGATCATCTTCCTTCGATTTATTTGGTTGGTGAAGAAAGGATGAGTGGTCACACTGCAAAACTCTACCAATTGGTTCTGGTTCATTCATGTGTTGGCCAGAGCTCCTGAACATAGTCTCGGATATCAAATGTTCAGATGAAACCTAAAAATGAATTACTTTGCTTTTTTGTGTATCATGTAAAGTTTATGTTTCTGAGTTTACTTTAGTATTTGCAACTGAAAAATCCTTAGACAAGAAATCTAGCACTTTATGTTCTCCAAGTTGTGGTTGAGTGTCATTAATTAGTGTCATCTTCGATCTACTTGCCTTTCTGGTGTAAAAAAAATCCTGCATGCAATCATTTGTGCGCCTGATGAATGCATTGCCCTGTAATAGTTTTCTTGATATCCATATCATGTTGTGAAAAGCCAGCAGATAGCATAATTGTTATCTTCTTCTCCGATACTAACAGGATAAAAACACATAAATATGTAAGCTGTTCTACTTGTTACTATCGTGATTTAACTTGTAAGGTTTATTATTATTATTTTTTTAATTTTAAGCATCAGGTTTCGATGCAATTAACGTGAAATAATGGTAGTCCTTTATCATGCCGTCTGAATCATGGATGATACAGAGACCACACACCCAATTGGTACAAGAATTAGCCACCTTGAAGCCAAAATGATCTTAAGTGAATATGGGAAAGCCTAGAAAAGTATATGCTCTCTCAAATAAGTATATAGGGGCACACTCATTTTGTTCAACCAAAAAAAGGAAAAAGAATAGAGGATTCAATTCTTTTTTATCATTTCAAATAAAATCTACTCAAATCTCTTTCTATCTCCATCACAATATTGACAAGCCTTGTGTAAATATTTGTTCACATCGTTTTAGACATTTTTTTCTCATTTTATCATCTAATAAGACTGGATTAACTGTTTACAGAGTGTACCCTATCCCATATCAGTACCAATCCTAAATGCAGATTGAAAAAATATATAGCCAACATGAACATCCAAATTAAATGCCATGGTATTCATCATCCAAGAAAGCTATTGTTAGAGCAGTGTTAAATCATCAGGGTTATATCCTTGAATGCAAGCCAGGAAGACTGACTCTCACATGTTAATGTAAGACCGAAAAAACAATGCTACAGCAATATAGGGTATTTCCTTTGGCATATGGAAATTAATAAGCATAACTTAATACATAGGTTACAAACACTGCTTCAGCATATGACCATCGATGGCAATAGCAAACACAATTCAAATTTGCCAAAATTTCATCTTTTACTAGGACTAATGAAAAGACTAACGTAGTTGAAGGTTGTCTAAGAGAACATAAATGTGGTAAATAGCTGAGACTTCATTGTCAAATTATTATGGCTGTAGTCTATTCATACATCAAAGAGCATATTCAATGACTACCATATTGCATACCTTTCCAAAAATGTTGAGATAGTAAGTGCAATGAAGCGATCAGCTGCATCATGATCTTGTTAAAAGTAACTGCAAACTTTGTGATTTCATCCTAGACTTGGGAATTTCTTTCATTTGCATGCTTTATTTGGAGTGCTGCTCTGACTACATTTCCCCTTGTGATGATCCCAACCTTCAACATGGAATACCTATCATGACAAGTGCCTGAGAGAAATACGAAAAGGAACCTAAAGTTGATACTCAGACATACCAATCTACCAGCGCTGTCGACAACTGGAAGTCTGCGATATTTTGTTGCAAGTAATATCCTGGAATTAGAAATGATGGGTCGCTTTAGCATTGGCTTGAGGCAGAAAAAAATTAATAATGAGAGTTTAGCATATGATTGAACATGTAAAACCTTGCAGCGTCTTCGAGGTTGGTAGTTTCACGAACCACAAGAGGGGCAGAAGTCATCACGTCGCCAATAACTTTACCGTTAGTTTTACCTAACAGCTTCTGGACTTCATTAAATGTCTGTAACAGGATGCAAATGTGAGTAACAGCTTTCCGAGGCATAATGTAGTGTGTACGAATAGCTTATTGGATTTCTTTTGTATTATATATTTCTTCATAAACCTAATAAGAGCACTTATGACATTTTAGAATAGGCATGAAAACCAAAAAAAGAGACCATAAATACTGATGTGATGAACCAGCATGTTCTACAAGGACCCAATGTGAAACAGCATTAAACATTGACGAAACAAAGTCCAGTCCAAGGGATGGCATTGTTACCAAGGAGAAACTACTTGCAAGGGATCTTACATCGTAGATAGTGTAAACACCAGAACTCGTTATTGCGTAACTAAATTAGCAAAATAAGTACATCTAAACTAATATGAATATTAAGGTGAGACAATTAGTATTAGTAGTGCAAGGAAAGGTAAATGAAGACCTAAGTGAATTTTATTAAAAACTATAAATAAAGATTGAAATGTCCTTAAATTAAATAAGAATATCACTTTGCACATAGTTCAATGATGGCAAATGATCTATGTAGCCAGCTCAAAATAATTGTGACATTATGACTTGTTATACTTGTAATTCTTTTATATCAAATCTTGCCTTCTTCAATACATCTAGAATCATGCATAAGTTTTTTCTTTTCAAAACAACCCTTTTTCTAACATTACCATATATTACGAGGCATATGCCTCCCACCAGAACTTGTAGCTATGTTCAGCAATAAAACTTAGACCAAGTCGTTGGGATAATGATTCCGTCGGCCATACGATAATCTCAAGATTTTGGATACCACTTTTAGATCCAAAAATCCACTCCATGTATAGGAACGACAAAGATATGAGCTCTAGAAGCTTTAAATCTAAAGAGAAAGTCAGAAAACCAAGAAGATATCATGAGAGTATTAAAAAATTGGTCACACACCTCTAAGTCTGTTGACTTGACTATAACTAGTTATTCTTTTTGTTTCTCCTACTTAATTAAAAGTCACATTCTTATGTATACATATTCTATATTTTTCACTTCCTATTATGTCCATGAAGTATACAGACTGAATTATAAAAATTGTATGTTACTTGGTTCTCTCTAATATCAGAAAAACCCAGACAACAATTAACCTTTCCTTTTCCCAAAACAAACTTCAAACATATCACAATGAACAGAACTTTATAATAAAACGGTCTATCAATTATTACTAAGCAAAAAATTTCTATCAACTATATTAAGGAATCATATCTATCACATGAAACAAAATTATGCATACTTTCCATGTACTATCAACCTCAGGAAACATGCTTGTTTCAACCCGTCCACTACCTGAGAAGAAAAGGAAATTTTTGATATTGTACTGTACTAAGATGGAAATTTAACCATAAATCAATACTCCTTGATGCAGAGGCAAAAGATATTTATATCTGAAAACAGATGGACTGAAGAAATAAAGGGAAGATTGAAAGATAACTTGAGATATGTAACAATGGAATCTAATGTATTCAGTTTATGAAATTCTTCTAAAATATGGAATCTAATGTATTCAGTTTATGAGATTCTTCTAAAATAAATAACTAGTTCTGATATTCTTGCTGACAGAATTTACTTCTAGAAACAAAATTTTCTTCCTTTGATAAGTTTAACTAACAATTGTATTATATTTTAACCTAAAATACGGGTGCTAACACCAAACACAATCAGCACTATTGAAGAACCTATAGTGTGACGATATCATATTTCCCAGACTTCCAACTTTACCAAATAATTAACAATTTAGATGACCTATTAAAAGGGACTGACAATCTAGATGACCTACCAAAAGGGACTTAGAAACCTGGCATTCAAGATAAGTAATCTCTTCAAAAACAAACATCTATCCACGTTAACAAGGCTGAAAAAATTGCTCAAACAAATGTATTCCTTGCTTGCCATCAAATTCTACTATAATTTGCATGCAGAATCTTGTGCCCATAATGTTGGAAAGCCTGTGTTCACAAACCCTGTGTCTGAATAGCTAAGCAACCTTGCAATAGACAACAACAACATGTAATATCCCGATTATTTGGGATTTGCTACATAGATTTTTTGTCACCATTGAGCAAAAGAAATCTGTCAACCTTTTAATAGACATAACTAATATCACCAATATTGCCAAGAAATCCTATTATATATAATTCAAATTAAAAGCAAAAGCATGATCTGCAAGAGGCTTGGGTTGCGTCTCTCATCATATATATGGCACAAGGGTCAAAAGAATAGAAAAACTTAGTCATATCTTACCGATTGTCAATTATAATGGAAAGTGTGCACATCATGGCTGCCAAGCACATTTCAACAGATCTACCGTGCACAAAATGTTTTCACGTGTAGAGCACATGCTCAACACTTGTACGAGGTAACAAGTTGTATGTGCTTCCCGAAAATATGAAATGCATAATAGGTTGCAATCACTTAACAAATAATCTGAACAGTATTGCTTGGTGAACCAGAAACATGAGAACACCATTAGAATTTAAACAACTGGAAGCTCTCCTGAGAGGCACATCCAAGAAGAAAAGTTACCTAGTTTCCTATATTTCCAGTACTTTATTTAGGAAACAGATACTAGTAAATAAAAGTTTTGGTAAAAAAAAAGGACAGTGAAGAAAACCTGAAACAGAGTCCAGAGCTAACAAATCATAGTCCGAAACAACACCAACCTGCAAAGCCAAAAAAAAAAAGGAGGCAACCATAAGATAAACACTCAAAATGTGAACATAACCAGTTAATGATAAAGAAAATAAACAAATTGAACAGAAAATAAGCATAATGAATAATTTCTGGCCACAAATCAAAAAGATCCTCAGTGAGACAAGAGGAGAACAGACCACTGCCACAAAATTGCACCCATCACCATTCTTCATCCCTATTTTTTCGTTTCTCTCTCTCTCTCTCTCTCTCATGTTTTTCTTCACTCTCTCAAACAGGAAACTTATCTAAGTCTTTTCATCTTCATAGTCTCTATTTTTCCAATTATTCCATTCTGTCCTTTTAGAGTATCCATTCAAATTAACTAACTATATAAAACAAAGAATAAGCATATTGATGCGTCCAGCTGATGTACTAAAAGTCCACTATTATCTGTATTCCTATAAAACACCTAAAAGAAAGAAAAAAGAAGTGATATCATTATGCACAGCACACAAAAAAACACATGATATATAGAACCATCAGTTTTCACAATAACCGCTTACATTTGGGACATCTTGATGTACACATATCCATGTCTCAAGAAAAGAAATAGTAGTGTATTAAACTTTGAACACACAAACTCAAGATAGGACAATTTAGTAAATAATAAAATAAGATAAGAACTTTACTGGTGAAGAAAAGATCTCCATCGAATGCTCAATCATTGGAAACACACATGATTTTTAGCATGAAAGACAAGAATATCATCAAGAAAAGCATAAAAAATAGAAAAAAGTTCATACCAAGTTCCAGTTGTCATCAATGACAGGAAAGCCAGTAATTCTATTCTCAACTAATAACTCCAGTGCTGTTTACATCAATGGATGGGTAAGCTATTCAGTTAGTGATTGAAGAAGCACAAAAAGAAGGTACAGAGAGTACCTTCATCAACCGAAGTGCTAGGCTTCACAACACACAGATCTTCCTTTTTGGTCATAAAATCACCCACTGTGTACACACCATTGCTTTGCTGCAAATCAGTAAAATAAAAAAAATTAATTAACAACTATCTTGTATGGGAGCAGGTTTATTTATCTCCAATGCTACTTGGAAGAAAAGAAGCAACTCACAAATTAGTGTCGTGTGGCAATAAAAATTAGGAAAATAATTTAGCCTTATTGGGAAGGTTTCATGGACTTAATAAAGATAAATACACTGAGACTAAGATTAGTCCAACACTGGTTCAACAGAATTTGACGGTTGTAAAATGGGCTGAACCCTTGATTGCAACTTAGAAGAAATCCGGACAACCTATATCATTTGCTGTAATCTTAGCATTTCAAAACACTTTTTTGCATCATCTAGATGTAAATGATCTTTTCCTCATACACCTGCCTTTAACTTGCATCACTCTTCCCATATAATCAGCTTTTCAGCTCGTTTTAATTTCTTAAATTAAGCATGAGGAAACGAGACAGGGAACATAGAACGGTCAATAATTTGTGAATGACTTCAACTCACTTTGCTGACAGTGAAGGTGGTTGTCATGCTGCTGTTCTTGCAAGTGGAAGGCTCGTATTATTTAGAGAATATTGCAAAAAGATAACAACCGTACCAAGATAACAAAACAAAACTAATCACGCACAATGAAAGAGGCGGATCGATTGGCAGAGAAATGGAAGGAAACATAAGAGAATCCTCCAAACGGGGATCGAATTGATCCTAAAACAACAAGAAGAAAAAGTCGAACCAAGGAGAAGCGAGTGCCTCACCGGCGCAGAATTGGTCGACAAGGCTCCGTTCCGCGCCACGGCGACGCTCAAATCGAGGGACCGCCACCGCCCTCGAACGACGAGGGGGCCTGCACCGAAGCCGAGGCAGCGGAGGTGGTGGAGGGGAAGAGGGGGCTTCAGGCGGAGGGCGGAAGAAGGGCGGGCGACGACAGACTCCATGGATAGCAGCATCCTTCCTTCCCTCTCGAGATCTCTCGACCAATCCCTATCCCCACCACTCGCGATAGCTCACCGTGCAAGGGGCGAAAGGCGGTTACGGGGGAGAGAGAGGGGGAGGGGGGGGATATTATAAAGCGGTTTAAAATGATTGATTTGAGAGCGGAGTAGGAATCGGTGCAGGATATTTTGATGACTTCAGCTTCATTGGCTCTTGTTATTTCTTGGCTTCTTTTCCTATTTATATGTGAGACAAGGAATTCAAGTTGTTGCTTAAAATCCCTATATATCGTATGTTATTCTTACCCACATAAATACATAATCATGTTTCTTTGAGAACGAATCCGGGTTTCTCGAGATGTACAGGACCGTCGATGAGCCGTTCCTGTTTCTTCAAATGCGTGCAGCTTCTGATCGACGGTGCGGATCTCGGTTCAGACGAACGGATCCGGTCACCTCCATCCTACGCAAAGAAGCATACCGTCAACTCCTGTTTAAAGCAATGTTATTCATCACACCAAAGCTTAGGACATTCTATGATACTTCCGATAGTGAACTGTGTGCATATCAAACATCTGTGTGCAGGTGAAGGAACACACAAAGTAGACAACCACTGAATCACACATCCCAGCAAGGTAGGCATTAGTTTGCATTTGTAGCAACATAGAAGCTTTATTCACTAGGCGAGCAATCAGCCAAGGCAGAAGTGCATATGAATGCTCCGCTGCAAGGGGGTAAACAAAGGATGTGAGAACCTTGACATGAAGATCAATCCGCCGATGAATCCGAACGAATGGCAAACAAGAAATTGGTACCGAGGAATTTACCAAGAGGAGTAACATTTTACTAAAACTAGTGTGATTCATAAAATCATGAGTGGGTGGCAAGAAATACGAGGAAGCAGGCATAGAGTGCAACTAGCTATTTCAGTTGTAAACACACAACCAAGCATCCATGCATCGGATAATAAATGGCGTCCTTAAGGTTTCTTTTCGTATTTCTCTCAGGCTAAATGACACACATCGGCATAAGCAGAAAAAGAGGATGAGTAGGGTGGTTTTGGATGAAGATTGCCTAAAATCAGCAGTTTTGAAGCAAAGCAAAAAGAAAATTAAACAAAAAACAAGGAACAAACAAAAAACGAAACTAAAGAGAAAGAGAAAAGAAAGAGAGTTGGGCAGAAATCTATTAGTCCACTTGGAAACATTGAAGAGATATAATATCAAATTCACAAATGATCTTTCCCAGATAATAGCCTCAGGTCAACAAAGTTTTATATGCAGTTAACAAATTAACATGACAACCAACAATTTTTATTCAGCTAGATAAAAGCGATACAATGAAGATGCTGCACCGTAGCAACCTTTAGAACTCACAATATGGTATTGGTTTAATTGTTAAGCAATTAAAGTTGGGTAGCCAAAGATAAATGAATTTAATCACTAAGACACCCAAGTTTAAAATACAATATGCCACCTAACAGCAAAAACATAAACTACCAGCATATGCAAACAAAGAAAAACAAACAATCTAATTAAAGTATGGATCAATGGGTGATCAATTATCACGTTCTGGGAAATCCACTGTCCAAAATTAGTTAATCTGGCACATGTGTCATCAATCAGATTAAGCTAATACAACTTTTACTCCACAACCATGGACATTTGGTGCTGGATGGTTTCACCCCTTGAAAGCTGATCCCATCAACTTAAAGTGTGTCAAAATAGTAAAGATATAAATAATGTACTATCTTTCACTGCTCTTCCTTTGATTAGATGAAAAGAATGCAAAACATATAGTGTAAGAAGAGAGAAAGATAGGCAGGGTTATTCTGTTGTAAAGGTATAAGCAGTAAAATATAGTACCAGAGAACGCTTATCAATACATTAGATAAATCAATGAATCTTTTATGGGAGAACAATCTATTAGAAATAAAAAATTATTATAATTCATATATGGTAGTAATAGAGGAATAATGACATGATTGACACCTCGACGCCAGGTGGCCAACACCTTGGCGCAAAGTGGCCTGCACATCAACGCCACACGAATAGTAGAACGTGGCTGAGCGAGCCGGAAGTTGTCACGGCCCAAATTCAGTGCATCACGACAGTAGCTAAGTCTAAAAGAAGCGCACCACTATCGTTATAATTGGCACCTTTTGGCAGAGGTAACAATACCTGAAGCTCACTGTAGAAGGGTTTCTCATGTACGTTCCCAAGACACAACCCTTTCTATAAATTTAATAAAGTTAGCCGAATCATCTGAATCACTACTAACTTAAGAATCAGAGGGGCCTTGTCAAGAACGCCTCAACACAATCTTGCAGATTTTGGAAGCACGTGAGGACAAGTTATTCATCAACTTCCTAGGACAAAAGCGGAAAAGGATCTCAGTTGGCTCTGAGCAACATCCACCTCAAACAACCAAAATCTGACTTTACAGTTAGGAAGCTCTAGAAACTCTACACCATTTACCCATGCCTTAGTATGGTCTGAAAATTTTTTGCATAGTCAATAAGATTTAATACCCTCCATGCTAACTATTTGTTCCCAAAACATCTCCAGCTCCCTTGTTGTTGTGTTTGAAATCATGTACACAACATTTCATTTACATCATCTTTTTTTACACAAAAATGACTTTATCAATGGGATAATCTTTACCATTGTTATTGTTCTCCTTCCCCACTTTAGTTATAACCACGGCAACAACAGATGAAATCCATCTTACCAACCATTTGCATTTACTTGTTTATACTAAATAGTGCTAAGCAAAACATGCAAACAAATGTATTTAGAAAACTAAACCATCTAGACAAGCTGCCTCAAAGAGAAATTACAGTCTAGAGGCAAGCAACATTGAAGTTGCCAAATAAGAAGATGCATAGAGTAAAAGGTCCTAGCACAAATCAACAAACAGGAATGAGAAGACCTGGATTTTTTTTTCCTTTTTAATCAAAATTTTGCCTTAGTTTTCTTCATTTATAGTTCACATAATTTTTTGAAGCCAGTACGAGAAACGAGAATGATGTTAAGTTTTTTTTTTTCATTTCTAGTTTACATAATGTTTTGCAGCTAGTACAACATATTAGAATTGTGTTTTAAAGTATCATTTCTTTGTACATCCAAGCAACCAAACATGAGTAGTGGTTCACCATTGACCTTATTTCCTCCATCTGAATCCTTAGTTGTATGATCCTTATGTCAATCAATTGATTAGAAAATTATATGCAGAAAACAACTGGCCAAGACGCTACTCATTATCTCTGTGCTAGGAAGCCACCCAATCATCAAGACAGTCAAAAAAATCTTTCCGATTTTAAATATTTATAATAAGAAAAGCCTATTAGATATATATGCCTTATACAAATCACATGAAGGCATAAATCATGAATGCACCATCATGCTACCAAATCTTAATTGCAAGTTCCAAAACATCAAGATGTATATGCTAATACTACTATGTCACTGTAGACTTGTATAAAACCAATCAAAGGAGATCGCGAAGCATACTTCAATTCCCCACATACTTCCAGCTAATTATGACTATTTCGACTGCCCTAGCTGAATATACTGTGTAAAGTGTTCCAAAAGCATCACTAGCCCACCACCGACGAGGCAATCAGTCTCCACAACTCCCAATTATTCGATTCGAACACCAAACTCTTGCTCCACAAAAAGAACGATGCACCTGTCCCTCAAGGGCATGTATCAACATAATAAGAACAACCTACAAATTCAGTATCTTTAGCATGAACGCTAATCATCGTCAACCAGCTCGACTCCTAAAACCTAAAAAAATATAACTGAAAAATGATCTTAAAAACCTGCTTTTTAACAACGGAAAAAGGAAATTGAGTGCGCAAACCGACACTAAAAAATTGCTTTACGATAAAAACCAATGAATTTGCTCCAAGATCAACCAACCATTAGAACAAAGGGATCATCCGGTGCAAGGACGGAACTAACCGGGCTTCTCGGGCTTGCCGTTGGCCCACTTGGTGACGTTGAAGTGGACCTTCTCCCGGCCAGAGGTCTCGGACTTGTAGGGCTCCTTGAGGCAGGACCGCACGAGGGAGGCGCAGATGTTGGAGTAGGTTATGTAGGTCATCCCCGCGGCCCTCCAGAACGGCACCGCTGCTGCCGCCGCGCTCGCCATCTCTGCTTCGTTGCTCGCGACGTCGAAGACTCGGTGGGTATAGATCGGCTGTGCGTTCGTCTACTCGAAGGGTTTGAGATCGTCCATGAAGAAGCTTACTTTCCACGTATCCCCAAAAATAATAAAATACTATTTTATTACTTATATTTTTTTTTCACTATAATCACTTATTTCATCTTGATATCGGGTTATTTACGCTTTCCTATCACGAATTTAATTAATTTTGTCTAAATCATATGATACTTTTGTGTATACGTTTGCAAGCGATCAATCTTCCTAAGATTTTTTTATAATTCTATAAAAACTTATAGAAGAAAAAAAAATTATTTAACTCGAGATCTCACGTGTAGATATTTCAATGAACATTTGATAGACAATATAAATTACAAATATAAACTTCATTAACTCTCGATGATCACCTAATAAATGATTCGAAATGATTCCTATAATAAAAAATCTCTACAAGTGCCCATATTATATTATTGCGAACCAATCTTTATACTATCTTAGAGGCTCATCTAATCATGTACCGGATAGTTTCAGGGTATTGTGTTGGTTGATACTTTGCACCACACTGCAAAGTTGGAAAACTCAAGATGACTACTTAGATAATCTATTTTTTTTAATAGTTTTGCCTCTGCACAATGACTATATATATATATATATATATATATATATATATATATATATGTGTGTGTGTAAAAGATTAAAACGACCATAAAAACTAATTAAAAATGAGATCACCAAGCTTAACATTACATTGAACATCATGTGTATATATTTTATAGACATTACATCTTTTCGCATATGTTGAATCTTCAATCTTTTACTCTAATAGTGACTTTCTCTCTACCACTATTAATGAGTACTCAAACTTTGATAATGTTAGGATCAAGAGCGGCACTAAGAAGGGGGGTGAATGAGTACATAGAAGAAAAGCGTTGATTCCGAAAAATATTCGTTTCGATTCAATCCGTTTCGAAAAGAAATTGAACTTGAAAGCTTTTATAAGAGTGCAAAGAGAGTGTTAAGGAAGCATGCAGTAATGTAAATTGAACAAATTGAAAAGCAAACCACCTCTCTTGAATGATCTTAACACTTAGAAATGGAGGAGGAGGACTCTAGCACTTTTACAATACTTTAACACTTTAAAGACTCAAGATTATGCCAATAGTTTGTGCCTTTCATGCAGAAAAGGGTGGGGTATTTATAGGCCCCAATGACTTCAAAATTAGAGCCAAAAAGTGTCTTATCTCGATTTTTCGGGGTACTAATGATATCATCGTCATTACTGTGTGGTATCACCGCTTGACACATGACAGTAGGCGGTATGATCGCTTGACAGACATACCCTCAACTCCAGAATCGACTCGAGAAGCTTCTCCCAACTTTGACTTTGTGTATGTGACATCTCGGGATGAGTTGTTTTCCACCTCGGACGATTCTGTGTATACAAATAATGGACACGTCGTGTTGACAATGATATCAATGATATTTAGCCTCAATGATTATCAATTTCACACTATTTTATTTATGCGTTCCGTTTGATCTAATAAAACTATAAAATCTTCCAAACGATCAATCTTGAGATGGAGATTCTTCGGCCGAATGCAAAAGAAATGACTCTTTAGGGAAAAAAAGGTTTTATCTCAATGTTGTTGAGATAGATCTGACATTATCGGAAAGCGTAAATAACAACGATAACAAGGTTTAACGTTTAACGTGTATAACATCATCATTATTAAGCATTAAATGCCGGAATGAGGAAATCAAGCGACACGAGTGAGTGCTCAACATTCCATTTATGCACAGGACGTTGACCAACGTGGCAAGAGAGTCGAAGGTTCCTCGCGATGTTGGTTCGGTTGATTGAAAGATGCAACATCCACATCAATACACTCCCCCCGCATTGATTGCTTGCATCTGTGCTTTTCGTGTATGGATTCCCAACCAACCCTATGCTATGTCACATCACTCGTCCCTCGACGGGTCGGACACCCGAAGATACCTAAACACGTCGTCTTTCGCTTTCTCGCCTCCTTTTTTCGTTTCATGGATCATTGATGGAGGAGATCGTCTTGTGCCGGTCATACGTTGAAACTTAGTCCTCGAAATGGGATGACGGAATTTGTTTCCTTTTTTTATTTACTTTTACTGTTTTAAGATCTCAGAGATAGATATCGCACTCCTTCAGGAGTCCATTGATGAGAAGGGACGGGGAAAGCTTGAACCCAATTCCTGTAGTGATAATATGACAACGATGATAAATTTTCTCGTATGCTCAACCATTCAGTTGACCTAATTGACTGTCACTTGTTATCTCTCTCGGATCACAAATAGAGAGAGAGAGTGTGTGTTTTGGCGTGAATGTTGGGAGCAAACAGCTGCCCCCCGTTGTTTGACTGCCTCCGATCGCTGGCCTCTTCAATGTTGAAGCGATAGATACGAGAGCGTGTAGGTGATGCGTTGATTGACGCTGTGGGTGTGGTCGCAGATAGCGCAGCGCAAAGGAAGGGACAGGGTGGGGTGGGTGGGTGGGTGGTTGCCGGAGTTTAATGACCATCGCTTCCGCACCACCCACATGGGCAATTAACATGCCCATGCTTTACGCGTCCGGATCAGTACACGCCCTGTGTCGCGGAGACGACTCCTCCTCGTCCTCCGCCTCCTCCTCCTCCTCCTCCACCTCCTCCACCTCCGAAAGTCAACGTTGGGCGCGTGGTCCCACGCGCATGGCGGCCGGGAAGTCTCGGATGGCGGAGCGGGGAGAGTCTGCATCCGACGCGGTGCCGACCTCGCCACCTCCACCGTCCATACGGACACTTGGTTTCGAGTCATTGTCTGATTGATTAGCTCTACAATTGCATCAGTTAATGCTCCTTTTCCTTTGTTTGGGTACAAAGTAATTATATATATATATATATATATATAAAAGATGATTCAATTTTTTTCATTATGGTTTATCAATATATTAATTTCATCATTTCTTGGCTTAACAAATATATGCTTAAGAAAGCATCTATGATCTAATCACCATAATTATATATATCCGAAGAATATTCATGCAAAAGATGAAAAATAGAAGTAGACGAAATAAATTCTATATAGTTAAACATCGAGAAGGTCAGTTCACATATACTGAAATATTCCTCAATTTAAAGATTAAAATTACATTATATATATATATATTTAATGTGTTAGTATATAAGATTTATCCTATCCAAGCAAAAACAAAAACCAGAGGCTTCTCCATTGAAGACTACGGTTGGAGGTTTACAAAGCTCCACCGGATGACCTAATTCCACTCGGTTTCTTCGGAATGATCCATCACCATTCATCCCCGAGAGGAGGAAGTCCATCTTCTATGATGTGCTGCCCTCAGCCTATGCTTCCATGCATTAATGGCAGCGGCAGATGGAGCTGCAACACCTACTGAGACCGTGGGAGAACAGCTGCAGTTTGACGGGTGGGATTCTGGGCTCGATCCAGAGCAAGCTGGCCGGCGCACCTCGTGACACGCTGAGGGATGGATTGCAATCGCTGTGGCGCATTGATGGTGAGGTCGAACTGTACGTTCATGGCTGTTCCCTTTGGCTTCTAACCCATAGCAGAGAATATGTAAAGAAGCCCAACAGTGAAATGTAACAGAGAGAGATAGAGAGAGAGAGAGAGAGAAAGGGGGGGGGTTCACATACCACAGATGATCTATATTTCCCCTTCTTCTTTAGTTACCATCTTCTCTCATTTAGGTTGGAGTGTTGCTTATTTATAGAGGGGCAGCAGTGCAACTGCCCCAACATCAAACAAGGCGAGTGAGAGAGAGAGAGAGAGAGAAGGGGGGAAGGAGAAACGAAACTAGACATACAAACACTCCATCTCCGTCTTTCCTTTCCGTTCTGAGGAGGAAATGGAAGCTCCTTTAGCTTCCTGGCCTTGGGGAAATCTTGGAGTCTACAAGGCATGCAATCCTTCCCTGTGCTTTCTTGCTCGCCTGTGAATTCTTGTGATCTAAAGACTTAGTGTCGGTGCATGCAGTACGTGTTATATGGACCGATTGTGGCCAAAGCTGCGTGCGAATGGAGGGAGGGGAGGTCAGGTGGGTGGTCGCTTCACCTTCTCCTACTCTTCGCCCTCAGGAGCCTCGTGTACCAGCTCTGGTTCTCCTTCGGCAACATGCTCTTCCTCACCCGGCGGCGCCGGGTGGTCGAGGACGGCGTCGACTTCAAGCAGATCGACAAGGAGTGGGACTGGTACGTCCTCCTCGTCCATCTTCGAGCCTCGCCACGTATGGACCGTCTGTCACTGCATCTTTCTCTTCTTTCTCCAGGGACAACTTCCTCATCCTCCAAGCCCTCCTTGGATCCATGGTCTTGTATGCCGCTCCGTCCTTGGAAGAGCTCCCACTTCTGCAACTCAAGGGGTGCATCGTCGCTCTGCTGCTTCATGTCGGCGTCTCGGAGCCTTTGTTCTACGTGGCGCACAGGTGCTTCCACCGCGGCTACCTCTACGCCCACTACCACTCCATCCACCACTCCTCGCCGGTGCCACAGTCCCTGACAGGTACGTGAAGAGGCAGTAGTAGAACACCTCCTACTCCATTTCTGCAATGAGTAACCGCTGCATGATGCTGTCTTCTTCTCGCTCGCTGGACCAGCCGCGTTCGCCACGCCGTTGGAGCACCTCGTCTTGAGCGCGGTGATGGCGGCGCCACTGCTGGGGGCCTTCGCCATGGGTCATGGTTCCCTGAGCTTGGTGTATGGCTACGTTCTCATCTTCGACTTCCTGCGGAGCATGGGATACAGCAACGTGGAGGTGCTTCCTGCTCGCCTATTCGACGCCCTACCCGTCCTCAGATACCTCATTTACTCCCCCACGTAAGTCACGTCTCCCCTCCTCTGCATCGCATTGCCCCACGAACAACTCGATCCATGTCAAAGTCCCTAAGAATTTAAGGTCTTGCTGAAGAACATGGATCGGTCAACTTGTCAAAGCACCAACCAGCACTTAATATCGTGGTCCAGATGGAGGAACTTACAGCACATAGATCAAGGGAATGTTCCCTCTCTCTCGAT